TGTGTGTGTGTGTGTGTGTGCGTGCGTGCGTGTGTTGCGTTGTGCGGTTTTACGTGGAAACTGTGCTAACTGTTCCTCTTCACGCTTTTTTTTTGTTTGTTTTGCGTCCTGCCTTCTTCCCCCCTTCTCCTTCACCCACTCCTTAATCCCGCTATTTATCTGTGCATGTTCAAGTCTGGAGCGGTATTTCTGTCCAGAATCCTTTTTTTTCTTTTCTTATTTTTGCTTTACATGCTTCATGGAGTGCATTCCTTTTGGCGCCTCCCTCCCTCTCTCTCTCTCCCTCTCTCTGCTTCCCCTCGTCTTGTCTGTGCGTCTTGTGGCAGCCGTAGAGTGCATCAGCAGCCGTAGCCATTTGAAGGAAGCTGCCGCAGCAACAAGGCGTGTGCCGCCCACAGAGCTACTCTTCACAGGCACACTGCAGGGGCGACGAGTGTGTGTGCGTGGGAGGGAGCGCTGAAGTGAGGTTGGCGGTGCGAGTGGAGTGCAACGAAAAGTAAAGGCGGTGAAGTGACGTTTTGGGGCGTGTGGAATGCGTGCCACACACGAAGGTAGGCGGCCAGCAACAAAGTTGCGGGGACCAGGCGTCGCGGTGCGTGCGCCACCCGGGACAAAGTACCGCGTGTACGGCCTCATGGTTGTGTCGGGCAACACTGCGTCTGCACGTGCCTCCGCCTTGGAGCGGCACTCTGTGTACGTATCAAACCTTGACTCCGACGAGGAGGCAACGCATGGCACGGTAGCAAACACCCCCTCTGCTGCTGATGCTGCTCCTGGTGCTAGTGGTACTAGGGGTGGTGGTGCCAGCAGCGTGCGGGAGCATGATCGCATGCTAGGCATGGTCCTCGCACTGCCGCTGGGCGACTCGCCTGAGGGGCGGGCGACGGTGCGCGGCTACACGTGGAGCAGCGCCGTGCCGGCCCACGTGCGGCCAGATGTGTGGCGGCTGCTGTGCGGTTGCGTTCCGTGCGCCCCCGCGTCCTTGTCACGCCAGCAGGCGGAACTGCGCCGCAAGCGGGCGGAGTACGAAAACTTTGTGGCCAAATACTACCGAATTACCATCACCGATTTCATGCAACCGAGCGCGCAGCAACATGCAGGGCCGCAATCGGTAAGCGCAGGCTTGGGAGCATCCACGACTAAGGCTCCTAACAACAATAATAGCAGTAGCAGTAGCAGCAGCATGGATACGGCGCCATTGTCCCCAGACGAGCGCGCTATTCTCTGGCAGATTGCGTTGGATCTCCCACGGCACACGTACGCGCTCTTTCGCCACCCTAACACCGCCTCTGCGTTGGCGCGCTGCCTCTTTCTGTGGTCACGACGCTACCCCGCGGTGGGATACGTGCAGGGCATTGACGACATCATGGCCGTCTTCTTCTTCGTGTTCCTTGAAGGGTCTTTTAGTGAGCGCAACATCCGGCTCAAACGCAACAGGCGCAGAAGCAGCGGCGAAGGCGTGACGGACTACACGACGGCAGAAGACGTGTATATCCCCGAGACGGTCGTCTTCACACGCGACGTGGGCGAGCTGGGTGCTGCTCTGCAGCAGCTGCCAGTAGATTTGTTCAAAGCAGCAGAGGCAGACGCGTACTTGTGCGGCGGTTTCTTTCTCTCATGGCTGCAGGACAACTTTGTGCAGGGACAGCCTGGTCTTCTGCGCAGCATGGCGCTCATAGAGAGGCTGCTGGCGCAGGTGGACTCGGTGTTGCTTGATGCAGTTGCAGGGTACGGTATCTCACTGATGGACTGCTGCTTTCAGTGGGTTCACTGCCTCCTGGCGCGGGAGCTGCCGCTGGAGTTGTTGGTCGTGCTGTGGGAGAAGTACTTGGCGATTGGGAACAGTGAGACAGTGATGGACTTTCACGCCTATGTGTGTGCGGTGCTTCTAATGGATCTGCGTGACAATGTGCTCGATAAGTCAGTCGATGTGGTTCTCCAACGACTAAAGGACCCATTGGGAGTACGAGGCAAACAGAAACAGCAGCAAAAGCCCCTGGATGGCGTTGTGTATGATCGCCGCTGGATCGATAAGATCATCGCCGCGGCGTCACGCTTGTGCCATCTGCACCCGGCCTCGTCGCTGGCCTGAGTCAGTCTTTGCACAGTGGGCGTTGCACACGTGCACACCGATAAACATATCTTCACATGCACATGCACACCCTCGCCTTCTTTATTGACTCTGTGCGTGTCTTCTTGTGGTTGCGTACGTCTCAGCGCGCCGCCGATGTCCACTGCGGCCTATTTCGCCTTCCCCCCCCCCTCTTGGCGCTCTCCATCTCCGTCGCCCGCGCTTTTCTCCTCTGCACTTCGCCCTGCTCTCCTCCTCTGCCTCTCTCTCTACACACACACACACACACGCACGCGACCTGCGAGGCACCCTAGGACTCCACAATGGGAACCAAGTCGAAGAAGAAGGCCAAGACGCGTCTCGACGCGTACTACCGGCTCGCCAAGGACCAGGGCTTCCGAGCACGCTCGGCCTTTAAGCTCATTCAGCTCAACCGCAAGTATGACTTCCTCGCCAAGAGCCGCGTGCTTGTCGACCTTTGCGCGGCGCCTGGCGGGTGGTGCCAAGTCGCGGCGAAGCACATGCCGGTCGGCTCAAAAATTGTCGGAGTTGATTTGGTCCCCATCGCACCGATCCGCGGCGTCAAGACGTTCGTTGGTGATATCACCGACGACAAGACGCGCAAGATCATCTCTACCTACCTCAAGAAGGAACCGGTTGACTGCGTCATCCACGACGGTGCTCCGAACGTTGGCGGTGTGTGGTCGCGCGACCTCTTCGAGCAGAACGCGTTGGTGCTGCATGCCGCTAAGATGGGCTGTTCGATGCTGCGGCCCGGCGGCTGGTTTGTCACGAAGGTGTTCCGCTCGCAGGACTTCCACAAACTCATGTGGGTGCTGAAGCAGCTCTTTGACAAGGTGGAGGCAACGAAGCCGCTCGCCTCCCGTATGGAGTCGGCGGAGATCTTCGTGGTGTGCGCCGGCTTCAAGGCTCCAAAGCACCTTGACCCCGCCATGTTCACCGCACAGAAGGTCTTCTCCGACGTCGGTGAGGAAAAGATCCTCACGCCGTCTGGTGCGTTCGTGGTTCCCAAGTCGAACGTGCCGGCGGGATACGATGAGTTCGCCACTGTCGCCCAACGTGTCGCCGCATTCACGGAGTTCCTGCAGTGCAGCGATCCCAAGACCTTCCTGCGCTCACACCACGAGCTGCGCTTCGCCACGGCGGAGGACAAGGCATACCTCAAGTCGAAGTACTCCAAGAAGGAGCTGGTGTATCTCTGCGGCGACTTGCAGCAGGTGGGCGACGCAGACCTGCGGCGTATGGTGCGATGGCGGGAGCAGATTCTGCGCGAGCAGGAACAGAAGCTCAAGGCCCAGCAGCAACAGAACGGGGGCGGTGACGGCAACGACGACGAAGAAGAGGACGACGAAGATGGCGAAAAGGACAGCAACATCAACAGTGACGACGACAGTGATAAGATTGACTTTGACAGTGCAGAGGGCGTGGCGAAGATTGCACGTGAACTGCTGGAGTTGCGAAAGCGACAGTCAAAGCAGCTTAAGAAGAAGCAGAAGAAGATTGTTGACCGTAAACTGAAGCAGATCAAGGGACTAATCAACTACGACCCCAACACGAGTGCAGAACACATGACGGAGACAGACGGCTTTATGAAGGACGTGGCTGATGAAGACGACGATGCAGCAGTAGGTGGTAGCGATGAAGGCGACGTTGACGACAATGGTTTCACTGTTGAGAAACTGGCGACTGTTGACGAGGCCGATGTGGCGGCGTTGCTCGACAAACACTGGGAGGAGCCGGACGAGCGCCTCAACGACCCGCTCAACCCCGTCATGAACGCCAACCTCAACGGTGAAGAAGACTGGGACTTGGGCAGCGCGACGGATGAAACGCGGGATGACGACGACGATGTGAAGCGGCCGCTGCAGCTCGTGGAGGGTGAAGAGGACGGCGTTGATGTCGACAACTACGGTAACTACATTCCGGCGAAGCGATCGGCGCGTGTCGCACTGTACGACGAGGGCATCGTGACGCGCGACGACGAGGAGGGAGGGGATGATGATGATGGTAATGATGAAGAGGACGCCGCCACACGGCAGAAGAAGGCGAAGGACCAGCAGGACCTCGACACCGCCGCTAAGCAGAGCAAGTGGCTGCGGCACCACGTCAACATCGAGAAGGTGCTGAACCAGACATTCCCCAAGCCGCGGGACAACAACAAGAAGCGGAGCAAACGCCTCGAAGAGGAACGTGTGGAGATGACGGCATCCTCCCCGCTCAACGTCGGAAACAGCACGAGCACCGCACACAAGAAGATGCGCTTCGACAGTCGCATCGACGACGACGACAACGACGACGACGACGATGATGATGATGACGATAGCGGCATGGAGGACGACGTGTCGGACATCTCCGTCGGCCGCTCTAGCGACGACCGCAGCGACCTCGACGTGCGCGTTGGGCGCGTTGACAGCCGCCGCAAGCGCGCGCTCGTGCCGGACATTGGGAAGCTCACGACGCAGGAGCTCGTGCGGCAGCAGCGGCGGCAGACGCTGAAGGACAACGCCGCCACAGCCGCGGCGGCACGCAAACGCAAGCGCAAGGACGACGCGGAGTTCGAGGAGATCCCCGTCGCCCTCACCGACCCCGAGATCCGCGCACGCACACTCGCCATCGCGACGAAGATGCTCGACCCGCGCAGCCGCCGCGACATGCTCGAGGCGGCGATCAACCGCTACACCTTCAACGACGACGACGACCTCCCCGACTGGTTCATCAAGGACGAGCAGCGCAACTGCAAGGTCGTGATGCCGGTGACGGCGGAGGAGGTGGAGGCGCAGCGGCAGCGCTTCCGCGAGATGAACGCGCGGCCCGGCAAGAAAGTCATGGAGGCGGTGCACCGCAAGCGCAAGCGCGCACAACGCATGCTGCGCGGCATGATCGAGAAGGGAAAGTCCGACCCACGCGCCCGCGAGAAGGCGAACGGCATGTCGGTGCGCAAGCTGATGCGCTCGCAGGCGATCAAGGGCGACGCCGGCCGCAAGAAGAAGAAGGGGCCACTCGACCCCAAGAAGATGGGCGAGATGCGGCGCACAAAGCAGCGGGCGAAGCGTCGCCGTTGAGGTGCTCGTTTTGTTCCTTCATTGTTGTTAGTACTACTACTACTACTACTATTATTATTATTATTATTATTCGCTGTTCGTGCCGTCCCACCTCAGCGTGTTGGTGTTTGTTGAGGTTCCTTGCCTTCAGTCTCGCATTTCCTCCGCCTCGTGGCGCCTTGTCGTGTGTTCGTGCTGCTGCTGCTGCTGTCGTGGGCGTATGCCCCGAGCGCGGGGGAGAGGGGCGAGGAACGGGAACCAGGCGTGGCGCACAAGCCGCCGCGCCGTAATCAAAGGCATATGCAGCCAGTTAAGGAGTAAAAAAAAAAGTACCT